GTTTGGGATCATTTTATTTTAAATGCCATAATGTCAGTTGAAAACATTGCAATTGTGTTTTAAAATACAACAACGAGTGCCACGAAACCATTTAAAGAGGCGCGTTCAGCGGTCTCCGTGTCGGGATAGGAAACAGTCAACAAAGTAAAATGATCTCAAACGTACGGCGCGCTCTCTTCATTTTATGAAATGATCATAATCACATCTATTCATTTTACAATCCTGCTACTAGCATTTTATTCAGACTAAAACCCCTTTAATTCGGGTGAGAAAGCGGGGGTTTATTTTGAGTGGCTTTTGCACATCCTGTCATGCCGGTGACTGCGTGCTGCTGCAATAGACGCATTTTGCTGCATTAAAGTTAACGATTAATCGATTAATTGATCGTTAATTTAAATGACGATCGATCATGGAAATGATCGAAAATTGACATCCCTAGTTCATGCCATAGTTAATTTCTTCTTTACATTTCAAAGAAATGTTGAAACATTACCCATTTCCTCATTCATCCAATCCATAATGTCTGTCCAAATCGTTTTGATGGGCCTCAGGGAACCTAATTTGTCTTTTTGTAGACGTTAGGGACCTGTAGAACTCTACAGTTCCTTAAGTTCACATCCTGCTGTATTGTATCTGTAGTAAACGGCAAATGCAAGGGTGCAGTTCATCCTTTTTTTTTGGTCATTCACAGCAGTTCATAGAACTTTGATGTTAGGTGGGACTGAAAAGCTTTAGGGACATGCAGATTTTAGGACTATTTGTTATGCAGATTATGTCATTTGTGAAATGAGGTGTAAACGCAGCTCTAATTGCCTCTCAAAAGTGTTTGAGGTAGTTGGAGAATGTACCCTTGTTTTGCATGTGACCAAGGACTGATTAAAGACCCCGTGGTGCAGCTTTGCTTTGGTTGAGTTTGAAAGGATGGTTATTCCTCTGAACATATTCTGGTTGAAACCAAAACTGCTTTGCGGAATCTGCAAGGAAGTAAATGTGTGCTGTATCTCCTTATCGCCTTGTGACGTAGTCTGACAGTCTGTGCTATTAAAGGACTTTTTTTGTTGCCTATTGCTTTCAAGTGATTTCTGATGGTAAGGTTTATGTTTCTTCTTTTTATTTTCCTCTTTTCCTTGTTTTTTAAGAATGTTTTACAAAAGATGGCGTATTTGTAGTTTAGTTTGCTAAGTGTTGAGTGTTTGTGTTTTCAGTCTTCCCTACAATGAGTTTTTCGGTGGAGTCAGTGGACTTACTGTTGAACAATTCCTTAAGATCAATGGCTTTCCCAATGCATTCTGGGGCTGGGGCGGAGAGGACGATGACCTCTGGAACAGGTCAGTTGTGTTTAATTAGTAGTATAAGTCTTTTATAACTATCCAGTTACTTTTGTACAACAAGTAATTGTTGCTTCTCCATGATGTTGATGCATAATGCTGTTTAAAGTAATCATGTTATCATAAACAAATATGTATATGTAACACAAATATGTGTGTGGGTGGGTTTCTTGTTCTCAGGGTACATTACGCAGGTTTCAATGTGACCAGGCCAGAAGGTGATATTGGGAAATACAAATCTATCCCCCATCACCACAGAGGAGAGGTGCAGTTTCTGGGGAGGTCAGTGCACGCACACATACGTAAACACTGGGGGTAGGTTGTACGTGCAGAAATTTGTACTAATATATGAACTAAAATAAACTACCATTCAAAAGTTTAAGATAAAGGTTTTTTTTTTTAGTCAGCAACGATGCATTAAATTGACAAAAAGTGACGGTAAAAACTTTTACGTTACAAAAAACTGTATTTCAAATAAATGCTGTCCCTTTGAACTTTGTTCGTCAAAGAATACTAAAAAGTATATCATGATTTAAACAAAATAGTAAGCTTTTAATTAACTGTTTATTGCTTGCAACATTGATAATAATAAGAAAATCAGCATATTAGAATGATTTCTGAAGGATTCCCAAGGAAACGTTGTTTATATTTTAATATTTTCAAAGTATTACTTTTTTAATCAAATAAATGCTAAAGAGATCTTTTTCAAAAACGTTTTAAATCTTACCATAACATTTATAATAAATGTTTGTAAAATGGCACACTTTTTTAAATATCTGAAAGTACACTCTTAACATCAGTCAGTTAAACATTATAATATGATGATCAAGTATTATTTAATGATAGAACTTTAGTAATTAGAATTAAAACTTGATAACCATGTTTGAATGCATATTAGTCATTTTATCTGAACATTTTAACTGGACTGGTGATGGTGCTTTTTTGGTCATTCAGTGTTTCTGGAAAAAAAAAATTGGGAAAAAACTAACAAAAATAATGATACGAATTCTACTAATAAGAACAATAGAAAACGCACTAAGGATTAATGAGCTGCTGGATTCATGAATATTAATTAGGTTGCGTGCGTTCGCTCGAACTGATTTGCTGAAATCAAATGAGGGATGATAATAGGTGAGCACCAGCCAATGAGATTGCCGTTTGCGCATTAGTTCCGCCCACTACCGGAGAAAGCGGTAGTTCTTAAAAGCTGAAGACCCACTACCAGAGAACGCGGCAGTTCTTAAAAGCTAAAGAATTCCAAAGGAACGCTGTTATTTTGACAGGAAAATACAACAAAGAATATCGTTTACATGTAGCGCGTCAATTCTCTCTCTGCGTGTGTGTGAGATAAAGCAACGGCGAGTCGTGCGCTTCACACTAGAGTTTACGGTACGTCAAATACAGGTGCGTTGCACATCCATTCAGATGAACTGAAAAATAGCACAGATCGCTTGATGTAGAGAGAAACTCTGGAGTGCTCAGTCAGAGTGTTCGGCGAGTGAAAATATATCTGTGCTTAAACTTATACTTGGCCTCCTACTCACACACAGGCGAGTAAAATCTGAGAATTTATTAGCCATTGGCTAATATTTGACATCATTTAGTGATTTACTCGCAATGTAGAGGGTTGTGGCATAACAATATAATCGATAAATCTTCATTTGAAGTGACAAATTACTTTCAAAAGGTGATTTACTCTATTTGAATCGCTACCGTACACATCAGAGTTTATATCTGAACTATAAACTTTTATCCCAGTACTTCTGTGATTTGAATATTTATAACAGAAATAATGATACTGTGTGGCTGAAAAGACTGTGAAGCTGGTTTCATTCATGACAGATGACAGCTGCTCTCTTTAGGACAATGGCAGCGCGAACGCACATTTAAATGTTCAAATCACACTGGTGTGATCGTACGCTGCACGGACGAACCAAGTGATCACAACATTGATCTCGCACGTCAAAGTTTGAGGAATGAAACAGACGAATCCTAATTTAGGAACAGAATCATGTTGGTGTTTGAGTAGTGTTCGCGATCTTTAACGATCTATTAAATTAAAGTGCTTTGTCATGTTGGTGGTGACACCTCTCTTGCAACATGTTTAGCTATCACAGATATTATACTTAGCTTTTTTGGCTTCTGAT